CTTCCTGCCCAGTGGCCAACCCATCCCCAGCAGCAGCCCCCATCCCCTGGCCAGCCCCAGAGCCCTGCAGGGAAGCAGGGAAAAGCTGTGCTCTTACCGCTCAATGATGTCAGCGATGGTGCAGGCGAACATGAGGAGCCCTTCCGGCATCTGCAGGGCCACTGGGAAGAGAAACAGCCACGGGGTTAGGAGACATCCTAAAGTGGGGACCAGCTCAAGGTGCAGCCACAAACCACCCTCCCCAAAGCAGCCGGGTGTTGGCCAAAAATCCGTGTGGCTCTGGCAGCTGGGGTGCAGCCTGCCCTGCCTTGGGCTGCATCCGCACCTCATCCCTCTCTGAACCCGCTGACACTGCTGCTCTCTCCCACTTCCCACTGTAATGACTTCCAGATTTTAATTATGTGCTGCACAGCAAAAGGTACTTTCTTCTGTTTATTTTAAACCTGTTCCTAATAATGTAAACGTGTGCCCCTGGTTCTCCTGGTACAAGAAAGAGCGAATAATCATCCCCTGTTCAGCCTCTCCACATCATTCACAATTCTACATCCCTATCATATCCCCTTTCGTTCACCTCTTTTCCAGTTAAAGGATCTAAACCTATTTAATCTCTCCTCATACAGAAGCTGCTCCAAACCTTTGATCATCCTCACTGCCCTTCTCCACACCTCCCTCGCAGCTTCTCTCTCCATTTCAGGAGGGTGGCCAGCAACAGCCGCAGCATTGTGCCTTGCAGGAATTTATTCAACAACAAATTTATGTTCCCTCATTTGCTCCCTCCTCACAGAACAATCAGAACAATCTCTCTTCCTCCAAAGGCCAGCAAACTGCCCAGTGCCTGGGGTCCAGCCAGGAGCCCCCCCACGGGGAGGTGGGGAGGAGCAGGGACCATGATGGAGGAGGTAAATGGAGGAGGCCCCATTAATCCTGTTGTTCTTTCACCTCCCAATCCCACTAAGATATCCCAGCTTCCATGCTATCTATCCAAACACTCTCTCCAACAAAATCCCCGTGCTTCCAGGCCCAACCCGCTGGCCAGCGTGGAGCTGTGTAAAGGCCTGGCAAAGCTGCACATGCTCTGCCAGCCCCTGCCTGACCTGGCAGGGATGAGGTTCCACATCCCAGCATCCCCCATTGAGCCCATTTGAGCCCATTTTGGCCCGTTTGGGGCTGCCCTCCACCCCAGATCTGCAAAGAGCAGCTTGGTAGGAGGTCGCTCTCCACTGCCACAGCACAATGGGCAAAGGGGGTGCTCCCCAGCCCCCCCAAACCCCGCAGCAGGCAGGGCACAGGCAGGGCCGGCTGCAGCCCTGTGGGAGGCTGCGTTCCCCCAGCAACGAGCCCCTGGCTGCTCTCTGCACACGCGGATTTTTAAATCCCAGCACGGCTGGCTGGCTGATGGGCTCGGCTCCCAGCTCGGAAGCCTAAATCCCAGCCGCATATTTACATTTAATTAGGAGGTGCCAAGCAGCAAAACACAGCGAGGAAAACCAGAGCCAGCACGGCCGGGCGGCCCCGCCGTGTCCTGCTGGGACACGCCCAGCCCTGACTCCCACCCCAGAGCCGGGATGGGCAGGGCAGCCCCACACCCTCCGGCCTTTCGGCATGGCAGCCGCGAGCAGCTCAGCCTCCAGAACATCCCCGAGACGCCTGCCAGCCCTGGCAGCTCGGTGGCAGCAGGCAGAGCCATTCCCAAGTGGATACAAAGCATTGCAAATCCGGCTCTGCCACACGAGCAGCCCCTGTCTGCAGGTGAAGGCAGGGTGGGGACGCTGGTGACAGCCGGGGACGGAGGGGGAGGCACTGAGCCCTGCTCCCCCTAGCTGAGCACACAGTGGGATGCACGGGAAAGCCCTGGCACTACTCCTGAAGCCTCCACAATCATTCCCTACTCCTCTGAGGAAGGTTCAGACCAGGGAGCAGCACAGCCCAGCTCCCTGCCAGCCCCACCCGGTGCCCGGTGTTGTGGGGCTCCCCCTTGCCAGCCCCAGCAGCGTGTCAGGAAAGTGCAGGGAGAGAGGAGAGAGGCAAGAGGAGCACAGCAGGGACCTGGCCAGCATCCCAGACACATCTCCAGGCTGACAGGTCCACGCAGCTCAACCTGTCCTGTCCAATGTGATTATAATCCAGAGATACAGATCTATTAACCCCCCTCGAGAGGAGCAGAGCTCGCCAACACAGAGCCTAAACACACCGAGGGCACAGCAGCAGCTCAGCCCCAGCCTCACCTGCCCCACAATGGGAGCTCAGCAGCACAAATCAGCCCCAAACCCGCTCATCCCCCGGGGCAGCGCTCACCCTTCCTGGCCTGAGCCTGCCGGATGCGCCAGATGGTCTTAGGAATCTCGAAGTTGTAGTTGGGGGGCAGGGCCAGAGCCGCCTCCCGCAGCTCCGCGTTCCCCAGGATCTCCTCGGGGATCTGCTGGGCCACCCGCCGGGCTCGGGCTGCGGGACAAACGGGGAGGGGACGGAAAGGAGCGGTCAGAGGGCAGCGCAGCCCGCACGCCACGGAAACAGCAGCCGTGCAGTCCTTGGGTCACTGTGCTCACACCCCGAAGGACAGGCGGGGAAAAGGGCTGCGGTCCTGCCCTGCACGCTGGCGGCAGATTGCTCTCGCTTTTTGGGGAACAAGGCGGCTTCTTTAGCCCAGAAAGCACCGCAGTAACGATGTGACACCCTATGAATGCAGCCGGCTGTCCCCACAGCGAGGGGACAGCACGCACAGCCCCTCAGGGCCAGCACCCCGGTGACACCATAATGCACCCCCGTTTCCCCAGCAAGGGGATCCCGTTATCCCACCGGGAAGGAGCCGCCCAGCGCCGGGTGAGCCATCCCCGGGAGCCTCATCCTGAAGCCGCCCCCCGACAGCAGCAGCCGCCCCCCTACATCTCGGCGATGCCAGAGTGCAGCGGGGGAGTGACAGCAGGGGGATTATTCACTATTTCCAGCCCAACACCAGCGCTCACGAGCCACCAAACCCTCCTCGCACGGCCCACGGCACAACCGACAAAGGGCCAGCTGGGCCGGGCCGGCGGCGGGGGTGGCCGGGACGGTGGAGGAGCCACCTCCCGCCACCGGCCGGGCATCCCCCGTCGAGGCAAGCAAAACAGCGGCCGGTAGCGACACCAGGACCCGACGCTGAGCCGGTCTCAGCGCACCTTTAGCGGGCACCGGGGCCGCGCTCCCGGCCCGCACGGGGGCCGCCATGGCTGTGCGCACGTGGGGGCGGAAGGCAGCACTAAGCGATCCCCGCGCAAGGCCGGAGCAGTCGCCGGCCGAGAGATCGAGCTCGGGAGCGCACCGGGCGGGCCCCGACGGGACGGGCGGTGCGGACAGGCGGGGACCGAGAGCTCTCGCCACGGTCGCGGCGGGACGCTGGGAGTGCAGTGGGATGTGACAAGCGCTGCGATGGCGGGGCTGTCCGCCCTTCACGTCGGGGACGTGGTGCCGCCGCATCCCTCGCGGTGCTGAGAGTTTCAGGGTTAACTGTCCTAACGTTAACACGGGGACGGGGCGGGGGCACCGGGGGCGTTGTGTCACGGTGACGGGTCCGTGTGTGTCCCCCCCCACACCCCTGCGAAGCACTGGGGCAAGAGGGACCCGAGGGTAATGGGGACACCCTGGAGATAACGGGGATCCCGACGGTGCAGTGAGGACAGCGGTGCTCCCGGTGGAATAACGGGATCCTCTTGGGGCAGTGGGGATAACGGGAGCCGCGGTGGGACAGAGGGAAAGAGGCAAGAGGGACCCTCGAGAGGCAGCGGGGACAGTCCGGGGTCAGCAGGGACCTCCAGGGGACGACAGAAGACCGAGGAGGCAGCGGGAACCCCCCCGAGGAAGGCGGCGATCCCGGCGGGGCGGTGGGGACAGCTGCGCTCCCGGGGGGATAACGGGGGAGGAGCCTGGAGGGACTGTCCGGGGACAGCGGGGACAGCTCGGGGGCACCGCGGTGTCGGGACCGCGGCGGAGAGTGCGGGGACAGCAGAGATCGGGACACAAAGGGGACAGCGGCGACCGGGACGCAGAGGGGACAGCAGAGCCCCCGGTGACCCCGGTGGGACGGCGGGGAGGGGACGAGAAGGGGCGGAGGGCGCGGTGGGGAGCGGCTGGGACCGTGCCGGGGCGGCGGGGACAGCGCGGACAGCGGAGACCCGGACCGGACGGGGACATCTCGGCAGGACACGGCGGGCAGAGGGGACGATACGGGGCCGAGGGGACGGACAGTCCCCGGGGAGCGGCAGGGACGGTGCTGGGCAGGCGGGACAGCGGGGACAGCCGTGATCACGGCAGGCGCGGGGCGGCGCGGCGGAGCCTCGGTGCGATAACGGGGCACCGTGCGGACGGCGACGGCAGAGGGGACACCAATGTGCCGGGGGTGACAGTCGGTCCCGGGAGCACCGCAGAGCTTCGTGGGGGGCGGCGCTGGGCCGTACCCCCCGGCGGGGCGGAGGGAGGGCGGCGGCGCGGGGAACGGGAGCAGCGGCACTTTCACGAACTGTCCACGGGAGGCGGGAGAGGCGGCGGCGGCGGCGGCGGAAGGGGGGGCCCGGGGGGGGCTCGCCCAGCCCAGCCCAGCCCGGCCCAGCCCTGCCCGCCCCGTCGCTGCCCCGCCCCGCCCTGCCCAGCCCTGCCCGCCGCTGCAGGCAGCGCGGCACCGGCACCGGGCACCCCTTTATAGGCTCTGCCCGAGGGGGTGGGGGGCGGCGGCGGCCCCAGCCCCGAGGGGGCGGCTCCCCCCTAAAAGCCGGCGGCGGGACGCGCGGCGGGCAGAGGCGCGGCCGGCGCTCCCCGGTGCTCCGGGGCCGGCGCTCCCCGGTGCCGCTGCGGCTCGGCCCGCCATGCCCCCGCGGGGGCCGCTCGCCCGGGCTCCGGCTCCTCGTTCCCGGTACAACAGCAGCAGCAGCCGCCGCCGCCGCTACCGCTCGCCGCCGCCGCGCCCGAGGCTCTGAGCGCCGCTGCCGCCGCCGCCGCCGCCGGGAGACCGCGCCCGCCCCGGCTCCAAGATGCTCCGCCAAGGTGAGCAGCGCACCGGGAGGGCACCGGGTGCCGCGGGCACCGGGGGCAGCGAGGCCGGCCCCGAAGTTTGTCTCCCCGCCGAAGTTGGGGCCGCGCCGCCGGGCGCCCCCCGCCGCCACCGCGTTACCGGCGCCGCCACCGAGGCTCGGGCACCCCCCGGGGAGCGGCACCGGCGGGAGCGCAGCGCGGCGGGGAGGCCGGGAGACCGGGAGGAGCGAAGGGAGGCAGGGCAGGCGCCGGGTCCCGCAGGACCGGGGACGCGGCGGGTCCCGCGGGCACCGGGCTACGGCGGGTCCCGGAGGCAGCGGGCATGCGGCGAGCGCGGGGGGGGGATCGGTGCTCGTTCCTCAGGGCGAGGGAACGGCAAACGGGGCTCACCGGGGAGCGCGGGGGCTTCGGCGGGGAAGTTGGGGCGAGCCGTCCCGTTCGGCCCCCCCCGAGGAGAATCGCTCCGCTGTGACATCACGCGATTTCCATGGCAACCGCCTGGGACATCATCGGGGAGCTTTGTGACATCACGCCCAGGGGAGCTGCCGGCCCTCCCGGGGGGTCCGGGACGGTGGGGCGGGGGGGGCAGGACCCCCAGGCCCGCTGCACCGGGGCCGGTCCCGGGAGATGCTGGGGACAGCGGTGCCGTGCGGGGGGACCCCGGCTGGAGCCCCGGTGCTGTCCCGTGCCCCGGGGAGGGGGCGGCCGCACAGCCCCAGGCCCAGCCCTCGCCACCGGCAGCACATGCCCCACTCTCCGACGAGGCTCGGGCAGAGGAGAAGGTGCCGAGGCTGTGCCTGCAGCCCCTGGCATTGGGGTGCAGACCCCCGGGCAGGGCAGAGCCCCCGCTGCCACCCCAGAGAGGCTTTTTCCCGCTGGGGGAAATGTCACCTTGCGGCTGTGTGGCCTCGCACTCGGATGCTCCTTTTCTCTGGCTCCCGCCTCAGCTTTGTTTGGTGTATTAACCCAGCCCGGCTGATGACTTGAGAACAAACCCCAAGCCTTTGGAGCTGTCCTGCTTTCCAGCCTCGATTCCCAGCCCTGGTGCAGGGAAAGCATCATCCAGGCTGGGAAACGGGGAGCCTGAGGTGGAGGCAGGCGGCGAGGCTGCCGACACGGCCGGATCCCACCAGGGGTAGCCTGTTAAGGTCAAGATCTACAGCTTTCATTTGTGGAGCTAGAAAAACAAAATGCAAATTGAAGAGCCTGTGGGCTAAAGCAAAACCTATTCTTAAAGTTTTTGTCTTGTTAAGCAAGGAAATAGAGTGCCAAATAGGCTTTGTTAAGTGGCAGTCTAATTAATAATTTAAAATCTTGTAGCTGTCTTTCATTAGAATTTATCTGTACATCAACCACAAAATCAGTCAAACACACTCATTTATAAGTTAATACCGTTCCTGAATAATTCAACAGGCAGTTAGAGGAGGCCTCCATCCTGCCACAGGTTCTCCCCTCCCTGCCTCACCGTGGCCAGGTGTCCCTGGGCAGGGCATCCCCGTCCCCAGCATTTGCCCCAAGCAGGGTGTGGAGGGGACATCCAACATGTGAAGCAAGGGGACAAGGGGACAGCTGCTGCTGGGGCGCTGGGCTGGGGCCAAACCCCCCTGTGGGGCTCTGAGGTGGCTGATTTTGTCAAGCATGGTGGCAAGGTGGGTGGCAGTGCGGGCTGATGGTGGCACTGCCACCGCCTTCCACATCCCACTGCCAGGGACCAGGCTTGAGGCTGGGGCCATGGCAGGGCTTGAGGCAGCAGGAGCTGTGCTGTGGTTGACACCTCCAAGGGAGGCAGCTCCGAGGGGACAGCTTCACACCCGGTGCCACACGGTGTGCGGCAGTATGGTGGCAGCATGGCCGGGCGAGTGCTGCTATTGCTGAGGGCATTTTGAGCCTCTTGCACCCCGTGAGCTTCATCTGTGGAGTCGCTGGTGGGATTCAGGGTGGGTTCTGTGTGGTGGGATGTCACTGGTGCTGTGACAGGGGGTGACAGCGTGGGGTGCAGCTCCATCCCGGGTGAGGGTGTCACAGCCTTGGCCGCGGGCAGCCGCAGGCAGGAGTGCAACACTGGCGATGCAGGAGGAGGAGATTTCCAGGTCAAGGATGACACCAAGGTCATGGGCAGCCACATCCCTGTCCCTTCCATCGCTCATGCCATCAGTGGGGTGTCCAGCCTCCGTCCCTCCCTGCCAGGGCAGCAGTCAGTGGGCAGGGTGCAGGCGCAGGCTGGACTGCGGTTCTTGCGCCGGGGAGCCAAGAGCCCAGAAACCTTTCTGCTTATAAAAGTTTAATTTCATAAAGAGCTGATAGGAAGCCACAAGCTCTCTGTGCCCGGTGAAGCAAGGGAGGGGGGTCAGGATGTGGCCCAGGCTGTCCCTGTGGTGGTGCTGGGGGGAGAGAGGAAGGCTCAGCAGACGAGACCTGCCTGGACCTGGAGCCGGGATGTGGAGGAGCTGTGGCTGCTCAGTGACCTGCACTGGTGGAGCCTGGCAGGGTCTCAGAGCCATGGCCAAGCTTGGCTGGATGTTATTCCCACCTTTTGCCTAAAATGCCACACCCAGTGTCCTGCAGTCCCATCTGGGTGCTGGAAGCTGTGGGTGACACTCCAGGTGGCCTCGAAGCACTGCCCTAAAAACATCAGTGAACCAGCTGGGGAGATGTAAAAAGATGCATTTTCCAGCGTGATTTCACACCCATCTTTCCCTGAAGCACCTGGCAGTGCTGGAGCCAGTGGCACAGGCCAGCAGCAGGGGCAGGGGGGCTCCATGGTGTGCAGGATGAGGCCGTGAGTGGGATGTCATTGCCTTGGGGCCAGGCAGGAGCTTGGGCTGCTGGAAACTGCTGATGGGTTTTGACAGCAAGAGCCAAAATCTTGTTTGAAGGCAAAAACCCGGCAGGGAAGTGTGGGAGCCTGGAGGGACGTGGTGGTGGTGGCCAGGTGTGACCAGGGCTGCCTCCCACTGGGGTGTCCCCTGCTCCTGGCAGTGCCCCTGTGGGAAGGTAGAGGCAAAGCCCCCCTTGCAGAGGGGTGACCCAGGACACGGCCACTTCAGCCCCACACCCCTGTCCCACTGTGCCCCACACTGGGGCACCCCTGGGTGACACTGCCACTCATCCCCCCCCAGGGAGCTGCTCCAGTCTCCCCCAAACAGCCCAAAAACTTGGGCTTTGTTTGCCAAGTGCAATTCCAGGGTTCAGCCACGATCAATAGAGACTTGGGTTATTAAGAGCAGATTATGTTTGCAGAGCACTTTGGTGGAGCAGCAGCAGCACAGGCACCCACACCCCAGCAGTGGTGCCTGTTGTTTGGTTCCCAGGAGGCTGGGATGGGTGAGGTGTTGCCCTCATTCAGAACCTACCAAAGGAGGCTGAAATCTGATTTAGGAGCAGCTGCAACAAGTGGGAGGCTGCAGGGAGAGCCATAAGGCCAGGAGCAAGGGGGATCCAGGTGGGAGTCAGTGAGGAGGAGCTGGGCATCCCTGTGCTGGCACAGGGTGCAGGGCATGGCCTCAGGAGCACCAGGGGGATACAGGAGCATCCCTGTCCTCTCCTGCAAGGCTGCTCTTCCCCTGCTATTTTGGGTGAGGCTGCTCAAGCCCAAGGTGGAAAGAGCTGGCTCAGCCTCAGGATCCTGTGCCAGCAGCAGGGCTGGTGCTGTCCTCGCTCCGGATGTCAACACCACGTCCCATCTCCCAAAAGGAGGAAGCACCAATCCCGCCGATCCCCCTGTGCCATCCCTGCGGAGCAGCATCACCATGGAAACCCACAGCCCGGCAATCAGAGGGGGGACACTTTTAGGAGTATTATTTTTACTGATGACAAATGGTGAGGGCTCGCTGCTGACAGAGGAGATGAGCCCGTTCCTGGGCATCGCCTGCTTTCCCCGGGGCCGGTTTTTCTCCTGCTTTTCCTGCTGGGGGCAGGTGCTGATGGGGTGCTAAGTGCGGGCAGGGCGAGCGGCAGATGCAGGACGGGAAGATGCGGGGAGCAATCTTCTTTGCACAGATTAGGATTGGGGGTTATTAAGCGGAAAAAGCTCCATTTGGTGTAGAAAGCTCCTTTTCCTTTTGAACAGCATATGTGCCCGCTGGCTGCTTGCTTCCCGGTGGTGCTGGCACAGCGGCTCGGAGCCGGCACGGCAGCTTGGAGCCCGCCCAGCTTTGGTGAGCAGCTTTTAGCGATGCTCCTGCCAGGGCCGGGAGAGCCGTGACCGCTCTGGTGGCTCGCAGTGCCAAAAGCTGGTTCCTCTCACGGCCAGGGGGATTTGGCCCTGGGCAGGTGATGGCACAGCAGGTCCGTGGAGGTCCAGCACATCCCAACAGATCCGGTGTGTGGGGAGGGAGCGGTGCTGGAGCTGGAGGGTGTCAGAGGTGCTCCACGTGCTCCCGAGGTCCCGACATCGCCATCCTCACCCGGGGAGGATGCAGCCGCTGTTTACCGGGGAGGGAATTTGGCTGCTGCTGCTCCGGCAGGGCTCCTTACGGAGCAGCCCTGCAAGCGGAGGGGAGGTGCCAGCGGCTCCGCCAGCCCCGTGTGCCGCACTTGGGAACCGCTTTCTATTTTTTTTTTCCAGCTGCATTTGCACCAGCGTTTGCATCGGTTTGCTCGGGGAAACCCCATCCCCGTGACCGCGGGACCCCCGCGGGTGCCACCCGAGGGGCGCAAAGCCCGTCCTTGGGCACGGGGAATGTCACCGGGCTTGTTTTGGCCCGAGGTGACCTGGGTGAGGATCTTGTCCGTGAGACCTTCACCCAGCTGGGTACCCGTGTGCGTTTGGTAGCACCGGGCAGATCCCTTCTGATCCCCGCGGGGGGAAAGCAGAGGGGGACAAAAGCTGCCGGCTGCATGCACTCCTGCCTCCCTGAGCCTCCCTCCTTCCCTCCCCGCTGCCTGCAAATTCGGCATCCCGTCGGGTGCTGGATACAGCCACCCTGCGGGAGGCACCCCCGAGCCAGCAGAGGGGCTGGGATGATCCCCCCTCGGCAGGGATGTGCCGGGGTGTTTGTGCTAACAAGCCCGGCGTATTATAATTTCAATGGAATTTAAAAAACAAAATAGTCCTCAGACAAACGACTCTGCAGTGCCTCTGCCAGGGCCTAAGATCTGCTGCTATCTATTTTTTAATAATTGAGGGTAATAAATATGTATTTCTTTCTCCTTTCTCTCCGTACGCCGCAGCTTGTCAGCTCCCTGCGTCTCTCCTCTGATCAGACCCCATCTTTGCCGCGCGGAAAGGAAAAGAAAGGGGAAAAAAAAAAAAAAAAAAGAAAGAGAGGGGAGAGAGGGAAAAAAAAAAAAAAGATTCTTTAAGCAAAAAAGGATTAAAGCCTTGAAAGTAGGTCTGCCCGAGCTCCTCGGCTCTTCCTGCTCCCTGCCAGCCGCAGACAGGGCCAGGGACAAGAGGAGCATCCCCAGGTGGTGGAATCCGTGCCCGCGGGGTGTTTTTGGGTGCAGAGCCCGGCTGGGCAGCGGCAAATCCCCCGGGGCACAACGGGGCTGTGGCTGGGCAGAGCCGCCGCTGGGTAACTTGGCACAGCGCTGCTCGGAGCCGGCTCTGCCTCGGCGGCAGATACTCCCCGGCTTATTATTCCCTCTGGTTTTCAGATGGAGATGTTGGCTCGAAGACGTGCAGGGGCTTTGGCAGTGGGGCTGAGCCCGGGCCAGGCTCCGGGACCCCCCCCCCCCGGCCTCCTCGGGATGCTGGGGCGGAGGAGGCGCTGGTGTGAAGGAGGAGGCTATTTATAGCTTCCCTCGGCTTTTGTTCCTTTTCCAGTAGAGCTCCTCTCGA